CCTTCGGAAAAAAAAAAAAAAAAAAGTGTTGCCACAGATGTTCTATTTTAACTGAAAAGTTGGAATGTTCAGATAAAACTGAACATATACAGTTAAAATAAAATTAAAGTAAAATTTCATTCAGTTGTATAAAATAAGAATCGTTCATTTCAATAACTTTACAAATAAAGTAGCGGTCATCTCATACACTTCTGAACAATTCGTTCATTTCTATGAATTTATAAGTATCGTTTATTCCATTCACTTGCCAACTAAATGTGTCGTTCTTTCATCCACGTGACAACAATGTCTTTATTAAATTAAATAAAAAAACTAAAATGAACTATCAATCTATTCACTTGTAACCTTCATAAATCTATTTCATTCAATAATAAAAATCTCATTCAGATAAAAACAAAAACAATCTATCACAGTTATCATGACATCATAGAGTAAGTATGAATATATTGTCAACACTTAACTAAAAAAAACACCATTCCATTCACTTGTAACCTTCATAAATCTGTTTTATTCAATAATAAAAATCTCATTCAGTTAAAAACAAAAAAAAACATACAGACGAATTGAGTACCTCCTACTTTTGGGAAGTCGGTCAAAAACAATCTAATCACAGTTATCACGACATCATAGAGTAAGTATGAATGAAAAGTCAACACTCAACTAAATAAAACCATCATTCCATTCACTTGTAACCTTCATACATCTATTTCATCTATACTATTATAATGAAGCGTAAACACACACTTCTTTGTTGCCTAACATGTCAGCAGTTACACCATATTTTTGAATAATTCCTTTTTTAATAAAAAACCCTTCACTTACGTCACGCTTTAGGCTTTATATTTTCCCGCCGTTAAACTTAGGGTTATATAATTTAGATAAAAACCCTAATGTGGGAAAGAGACCATAAGTTGTTGCCAACATCAAGGCAGCAAGGTTGCCATGGTTTTACATCATGTCATGTGATTTTGACATTAGCAATTGATAATTTGACAAATGTCAACAATAAAATGAAATTTTAATAATTTTATGCGGATGAAGTCGCATGGGAACAGCTAGTTCAATAATAAAAAATCTCATTCAGTTAACAACGAAAACTATATTACAGTTATCATCACATCATAGAGTATAAAATGTCAACACTCACAGTCTATGATTGACGAGGCCTGCTCTATGACTGAATGTTTTCTCGCAGTCTGTGCACTGCACTCGGGATTTATGACTATCTGTATGATATCGGTGGCTGTCTATTGACCTGTAAAAACCTTCATTAAAATCTTACTAAAGTTTGGATGGACGGATGTTAGGTTTTTAACAATTAGTATCTGTATAGGAAACAAAGAAAAATTACAATTAGGTGTTTTAAAAATTGTCAGGAAAAAAGAACTATAATAAAAATGTACTAATATTATAAATGCGAAAGTTTAGATGGATGGATGGATGTTAGTTAGCCTAAACAGCTGAAAGAATTTCTATGACATTTGGTATAGATGTAGAGCATATTAGTAGAAAATATAAGATATTTAAGATTTTATTATGTATAAATATTAATTTCGTGAGAACAAAGTCTCAGCCAAAAGATAACCACATTTAGTTACATTAGTAATATACACAAAAAAACAAAGATAAAATAAATTAAAACATACTTAGATATTTTCCCGCATAATTCACATCGATATTCCTTCAAAGACATTTCATGATTTGTATAATAATGTTGCTCTATGGACTTCTTGTCTATGGTGCGCTTCTGACAGATCACACACTCGTATCTATGATAAGAAACACAGATTAAAAACAATATTATACAACAATTTTGTAAAAGTTTAAAAATAGAACATTTAAGATTTAGGGCCTGTCCCACCAAATTGTATTTTTTTTATTTAATTTCGACATATATATATATATATATATATACATATATATATATGAATAGATAAAGTTGAGAATGTGTACATTAGAGGAAGTTTGAGGTATCGCCAGTGGTGGAGAAATTGAGAAGCAAAAGGTTAGCGTGGTATGGACATGTTATGCGACGAAATGATGGGGACATAAGGCAGAAAGTGTTAAGAATGAATGTGGATGAAAAGGAAGAGAAAGATCGAAGAAAGTATAGATGGATTGTGTGAAAGAGGATATGCTTAAGAAAGGAGTGTATTCAGATATGGCTGATAGAGATGTATGGAAGAGCAAGGGATAAGGGCAAGTGGATGATGAATAACGACAATATAGCATCTTTATAGAATAAATCTAATGTGACACTATATATATGAGATAATACATAATATTACAAAAACATAGTAAAAATACAATAAAACCGATAATGAAGAAACAAAAAAAAACAAATTATACACAGAAATCAACAGAAAAGAAGAATATAACAATCCAACGTGTAAAATATGTGATGGAAATATCGGATTGTGTTACCTTATCTGACAGTGACTTCATAAGCTATCTGAGACTCTATCAGCCAGTAGTGGGACAGGCTCTAATACTAATAAATGCTGAAAGTTTAAATGGATTGATGTTTGTTGCAGACAAAACTGCTGAATGAATCTCGTTTATTGTCATAAATGTTGAGAGTAATTTGACATAGGCTGTACTTTTGTTTTTTTATTTAATTCCATACAGACAGCACGGGCAAAAAGGTTTTTTTTAAACTAGTTTTTCTGGAGTTTAAAAAAAGCGCAAGTGAGTAGCCTATGTGTTTTTAGACTGTTTTCTGCATCTATGCTAAATTTTATCCAGATTCGTTCAGCAGTTTAGGCTACAAACTAACAAACATCCATCTAAACTTTCACATTTATAATATTAGTATGATAAAAAATCACCTTCTAAAATGTCTTTTACAATGTTCTGTAAATGAATCCAACGTAGATATTATAGTACTACATATTGGACATTTATGTTTACCCAATTCCTGAAAAAGAATCACTACAATTATATTCTACAGTTTATACTATTATAATAAAGCGTAAACACACACTACTTTGTGACGTAAGATGTCAGCAATTACAGCATATTTTTTTATAATTCTTTCTTCACTAAAAAGCCCTACACTTACACGCTTTGGGCTATATATTTTCACGCCATTATACTTAGGGGGTAAATATTTTGGATAAAAACCTAATGTGTGAAAGAGACCATAAGTTGCTGCCAACATCATGAAAGCAAGATTGTCATCATGTCATGTCATTTTGACATTTGACAATTTTATGCGGATGAAGTCGCACGGGGACAGCTTGTAATAGTATATTTTTGAATAATCCTCTCTTTAATAAAAAGCCCTACACTTATATGCTTTAAGCTATATATTTTCATTCTATTAAACTTACGGGGTAAATAAATTGGGAAAACCCCTTATGTGTAAAAGGGACCATAAAATAAAAGCTGCCAACATTAAGGAAGCAAGGTTATGGTAGTAATTTTGACATTTGAAATTGATAATTTGACAAATGTAAACAATAAAATACAGTTTTTATAATTTCATGTGGATGAAGCCATACTGAAATAGATAAAGTTACTAATTCTTACTAATCTTACTGATATTATATATGTGAAAGTTTAGATGGATGTTTGTTAGTTTGTAGCCTAAACTGCTGAACGGATTTCGATGAAATTTGGTATAGATGAAGAGGATAGTCTGGAACACATAGGCTACTTAGTTTTTTTAATTCCACGCGGACGGAGTTGCGGGCGAAAGCTAGTAATATAAACTCACCGCTGTATGTTTGTTCATTATATGTGTGTTATATGTTTTATTACTATTAAATCCAATAATGCAGTTTTCACATTTATATTTGGCTTTTCTAAACACATCCTTTTCTTTCCCTTTCTCTCTTTCTAACAACATTTCTTCATACGTCAATTTTATTGGTATAATTTTTTTGTCATTCTCATCTGATAACTGTAAAGAAACTTCATAAAATAATCTTCATATAGAAATTACATGTCACTGTTAAATAGTGAATTCTGTTAATTTGTAACATTTCTAGAAATTTTTAAAAAGTAGTATAAAAACATTAATAAAAGTCGAATCAGATATTCCAATTATTTAGTAATAAAAGTTAATTTAATACAAGAAAATATAATTTTAATTTGACTTCTACAGTTAACAAATTATCAAAAACGTATAAAACTGTCAATTATTTCTAAGTACTTTTAAAATTATAAAAAAAATCATTAATAATTGTTTTTTAAATTACGTTTTGTATTTTGTTTTAAATCTTAAACCGCGATACCTTTTTAGAATTACGCTTCAACTTTCTTCTCTTCTTAATACCTTTATCTCTTTTACTCTTTTTATTCTTCTTCGCGCTTATAAACTTCTGTAATTCGCTTTCCAGTTCTGAATCAGAACAATCTGACAAACAATCTTTTGTGTCTGAATATTCTTCTAAATCTGAAATAATTATTATATTATTATTGTACTAGCTATCACCTGCGACTCCGTCCACATGAAATTAGACAAAAATAAATAGCCTATGTGTTCTTCCAGACTATCCTCTTCTATGACAAAATTCACCGAGATCTGTTCAGCAGTTTAGGCAACAAACTCTAACAAACATATGGATGTTTGTTGGAGTTTGTAGCCTAAAAAACTTTGTATTTATATTAGTAAGACTAGCTGTTCCCGTGCGACTTCACCGCACGAAATTATAATAACTTTATTTTATTTTATTGGTTACGTTTGTTAAATGTCAAAATTATTTAAAATGTTCAAATGTCAAATCATAAATGACAACCTTGCTCTCCTAATGTTGGTAGCTTGTAGTTTATGGTCCCTCTCTGACGTTAGTTTTTTTCTCAATTTATTTACCTCCTAAGTTTAATAGTATGAAAATATATAGCCTAAAGCGTGACGTAAGTGTAGGGCTTTTTATTAAAAAAAAAATTAAAAAATATGCTGTAATTGCTGACATCTTAGGCAACAAAGAAATGTGTGTTTACGCTTTATTATAATAGTATAGAAGTATAGATTATTACATACCTTTGTCAAATTCAACTTTCAATTCATCTTTAACACATACAATCTGTAATTCTTTAGGTCTGTTTGTATTTTTGTCGTTTATTCCATATATATCAGTCTTTTCATTATTCTAAAACAATATCTATATTAATATAAAGATATATATTATAAAGAGGAGAAATTTGTGTTTTTGTATGTATTGGAGTGGCTTGGACGCTGCTGGGTTAATTTCAAATTCTTACACCATTGAATACATTATTTGTGTATAAAATGGTCTAAGTTTGCTTTTTATTTTTTTATATGTTATAAACTAAGCGACCAGTGGTTACTCATAAATCCTGTGTGTTTTTGTTCCGCTTATAACATTTCTTTATTGTATTTTTCTCAAATACAATAAAGAAATAATTAATTAATTAGGGTGAGTTGCATCAAATCGCCGGTTATCGTAAAAGTTATAGTTATAGTTAATAGGGTTACAAGTGCAAAAACATATTCTCACAGAGGTTTTATGTGTTTTTCGTTTTTACAATGGAAACATTTAAACCTGAATGTCACTAAAGTGTCAAGTTGGTGTCAAGAATGACATTTACGTAAATTATAATGTTTGGAAATTCATGTTTCGCCGAATATGTTTATGTATCATACGCATGGTATTTTATAGTGACATAAACTCTTTGCCCACGGAGATGGAGAAAATGGCAAACTCTTGTGAAAATAAACTACTTTGGGCCATTATTGAAACTGTATTTACTTTACTACTCAAATATGTAGCAAAAATGAAGCAATAAAATTA